GACTAGATTTTTTTTAATGTAAATTTCAAATATTATATATGAAATATTTATTTTGTGAAAATACACATTTGTACGCATATTGTGAGGCAACTGAATGAGATTTTACTTGACATGATGTGTACAGGTCTGGTCAAGTTTATTTGTATAACTCTCCTATGGCATACATTGTATTACTGAACTTTGAAAGTCTACATAAACAAGGGTCCAAGCCAAAAAAAAAAGTATTGTAATATAGGCCATTATATGCTTATTATCTCTTTTTTTGTCACTTTTTTTTATCACGTGTTGTGTCTTCTCAGTGTCTAATAAGTTATTTAGAACATGCGTGTCGTTTTAAGTCAGTGTATGATTTGGGAGTGTCTAATGTATCTGGCCAGTTTAACTTGGTCCACACATTTCCCTCTTAAATAAAATAATTACATGGAACATAACTCGCACTTTCTCCTCATCCTTTTAAAACCACAGCACAACGCAGGCATGTACCGCATGAACAGTAAAATAAAACTGCAATAAATAACAACTTTCTGTCTTAAGATTTAAACTTCCGAACTTACGTGGGGTATTTGAATGTATCATGCAAGGGAGCGACGAGCATCAACCCCACACTGTCACAGCTTGTCTGGCAAACTGCTGCAACTAGCTATATTTAGCCGTGAATTAGGTTAAATTTAAAACGTTGCGGGGAAAAGATGTGACGAAGTTTGCTGTTGAGGATTGTGTGAGAGGTTGGACTCAATCTTACATGCCCTGCTGAATCTTCAACGGCTTAGTTAGCTGACGCGACAACGTTAGCTTCAGCTAAGTTAGCTAACGTTACCTAGCTCTTTTTGTGTGCATGCGTGTCCCAGATAAACACTCACTATCCGTCTGTTTTACAGCCACATCAGCGGTAAAATAGCTAACGTTAACCATGGGGCGGTCGGCGTTCGTCTGTCATGAGATGAGGTCATGATAAACTCAGTTCAAAGACATTTCAGCGTAGTTGCACTGCCTATGTGCAGATGTTGCATACTGCATTGACAGCGTAATCTTCTCTGAATCACCACCGGTTACTTTGCAATTCAAGGTGCACTCAGGTATCGTTAACTGAAATATATTTTCAGCGTTAAGCATTGTTTCATTGCCTATTTTCTCCTCTTTCCATGTTGCTGAAGTGCAGTTTGATCCCCCCGAAGACAGCAGTATAAATAGCTGAGCTAAATAGATATTTGGTGAATCATATTAATAGTATCAGTCTCAACAGGCGATGCCCACAATGGGCCTCTGTTACTGGTTTATCCTGTTTTAGAGATGATGGGTATCTGGTAAAGAAGGCCACCCGTTGGCCAGAGGAATACCTCTGCATTCTCTCAGACCTGGCTTGCTTTTACCTGACATATGTCAGCTCAGATAATCAGAAAATAAATAAATCAGAAGAGTTAAAGATGGGGCTGGCTGAATGACGAAAGTCACTGTTTTTTAAAAAAACAAAAACAAAAACAAACCTAGCCTTCTGAAACAAGCTGTGGTCTATGGGGACCTTATGGAAATCAACTTAATCAGACTTCTCTCTGTTCCATCAAATTATTGTCTTGCATTTTTTTTACATCCACATCATGACACCACCTCTTTTCCTTGGCTATTAAAAAAAGACAGTAAGATGTCACTAACACATCGGCCAGGCTTCTGTATATGTCGGTCAATAAGACATAGCAGGACAGAAATGCTAAACTAGGTTTGAGGTAATTTAGAAATAGCAGAAACACAGATATGTTAGTTTTTCAACGGCAAAATGTCCCACTGGCTATGTATCTTGGTGACCAAAAATCTGGATAGATCAGTATTAGTATCATTTATGTTATGCGGTTATGTTAAAAAAAAACCTCAGCCAATACATCTCCATCAGATTTTTTTTAAAGCTCCCCAATATTGACATCAATATCAGCCTGAAAAAATCTAGCATCGCTTTAACCATATTGTACATATCTATAAAAATACCAACACTGAATTTCTGCTGTATAATGCTTATTTAACTTTCACTTTCTCCGCAGGCTGCAGTCATGGGCCCAGACACTGCATCTGAGCATAAAACTGAATCTTCAGAGGAAAGTAAGTGTTCATGCTTCTTTGTATTTTCATGTGTTGTTGGTCAACACAACAGTTAACAAATCAGTCAATTAATTGAGCAAAGTATTCAGAAAATATTCTTTGATGTGATTTTTCCTCAGGTCCTGCAGAAGTCGTTGTGAAGGTAATCTCAGAATCAGATTCCGCTGATGCTTCGGCTGCTACTGAGCCAGAGGACTCTAAACAGCTAGAGAGCCATATATCAGACAAGTGTTACCCTTGCTCCATCTGTGGAAAAGTATTTGACAGACCATCGAAGCTAGAGAGGCATAAACCTGTGCACACGAGGAAGCCTAAGACTCTTCATCAGTGTAAGCATTGTGATAAGAGTTTCACACAACAAGAGAAGCTGATCCGACACCAGAATTGCCACAATAGGACTAACAAGCACCCCTGTCCTGACTGTGGAAAAGTCTTCAACAGACCTTCAAAGTTAGAAAGGCATAAGCGCACACACTCAAAGAAACCAAAGGTGCCTCATCAGTGCTCATACTGCATGAAGACTTTCAGTAAACTCAACAAACTTGTCCGTCACAAGCGAATGCACACTGGGGAGAGGCCTTTCACCTGCTCAGTCTGTGGGAAAGGATTCTCTGAGTCAGGTCACTGCAAAGCACACGAAAAGACACATGAGGAGCAGCCAGAAAAACCTCACTGCTGCCCGGACTGCGGGATGCGTTTCTTCAAGGCCTCAGAGCTACGTCGGCACTTCCGCTCCCACACAGGAGAGAAACCTTTCAGATGCACTTTGTGTGAGAGCTGCTTCTCGCGTTCAGAAGGACTTAAGAGACACATGAGGAGCCACACGGGGGAAAGACCATACAAATGCATTATCTGCGGAAAAGGATTCTATTCTCGACAGGATTTGAATATTCATGGGTTGACCCACTCAGGAGAGAAACCGCATCTTTGTCCTGTGTGTGGTAAAGGCTTCTCACAGCTGGGCAACATGAAAGAACATGAACAAAATGTTCATATTAAATCAGAGAAGTATATTTGCAATGAATGTGGGGCAACCTTCACACGGTACAAGTCACTGACAAAACATCAGCGGACACACACAGGCGAAAGACCCTATCTATGCCTCACCTGTGGTCGCAGGTTTTCATGGAGCCACTCTCTAAGCAGACATCGGAGGACACATGCACACAGACAGATGTCTATAGACACATCCTAAGCTTCATTGAGTTTTAAATGACCCTCTGAGGATCTAAGCAGTTTAAAAGAGATGTGAAATCCTCATGGAAAGGACATTTCATCATCAAGCAATTTTCCTGGCGCGCAGTCAGGCTAAAATTTACTAAGTTTGGTGCATTGAGAACTAATTTTGAAGCTTTGAAGTGATTAACCTTGCTGCTTCCTTTATTTGTGCACAAAATGTCGGCCAAAAATTGTTAGTGCAGGACTCCTGTTAAACTACTTCCTGTATTTTTATTGATCCAAGCCCGAGGGTGTTTATTGAACTATGTTGGCAGTTAAAATTAATATGTGCCTAGAATATGCAATGTTTTGCATAAATATGCTGTTTGGATTGAGTGAACACAGGTCATGTGGCTACATAAGTGCACTGCTGTATCTGGGGAAGATCTGTTCACATCTCTGTTTTATGACAAGTTTGGATTTACCTTTAGATAATGCAGAACAATATCTTTAGTACAATATCATGGGATGAATCATTCAATTTTGACCAAGTCTTTGCAGCTGTTGATTAGTGGAGGTGCCAGACTTCAGTCTGGTCTGAAGTGAATCGAGTGAATGTCCGCTTTCCATAGTGATTAACTTAATCTGATGTAAACTGCTACCTCACTTTAGCACTACCACAGAAGGTACGCAAACAAGATTTTTGCATATAGCAGTCCATATCAGCAGTGGTTCTTTTCGCTGCAGTTCTTAAAACAAAATTTTACTGTTTTGAATTTTGTTAGCCAGTTGCCCAGAATAAACAATTAAATGCCAAAAATAGACAATTTTCGTACTCGTATATCTAATTGTTTTTAATTTTAAGTAAATCTTAAAAGAATGGTTAATGCTATGCTGAGTCAGAGCAGAAAAGTGCTGCTACCCCGTATATTCCATGCAGGAATATAACCTCGCACTACGAATGGCAAACACCTATGGCGAGAGCACTGATCGCTGTTGCTTGCAGTGGTTTGTACTGTGGAGTGCAGCAGCAGTTTTTCTCTGGTGTGAGTTGTGTACGATTAAAATTAATATAAAAGTCCTTTTCAGATTTATTTTTTATTTCAATTTTATTTTATTTTAAGGTGTATACCATATATAATGTGTAGTAAATGTAATCCTAATTCTCTGTGATACTATCTACATACAGTTCATAGTAGCTTACTTTTAATAAACATACACTACATTGTGCTGTAGTTTGCTGCATGATAACAACAAACTACATTTTTAAATACATATTCAAGTAATGTGCTCCTTATTCATAGAAAATACAACCACCAATAAACTGTATTCATATGGTAGCTATAGCAAGTAGAGCGTTTTTTTTATTGTGCATCAAACCATTCTGCTGTATGTTGCCTACTTTTAAAAAGAGGTTTCATTTTATGGTTTTTACTTTAACTTTAGTTTTTTACTTTTCAGATTTCTAGTGTAATGTCAAGTGATAGATTAAATAGTAGATCAGTCTCTACCAGTAGCACAGACAGTAAAATGTGTCTTTGTTATTGATTCCTCCAGTTTCATCCCCTTGCCTTGCCTAAATGGCTATTTTGAAGTTACTGGCAGTTTGCCTATTAATCTGAAGGTTTTTATGTGCACGCTTTTTAAATTTAGGAAATTTCGACCGCACGTGAAGGCAGCGAAGGCATTTCACCGACCAATGACTGGCCAGTAGAGCCCCAGCTGTTGCTAGGTAACGTCTGTTGTTGAAGAACCATAGATACGGTTGTTTTTTCGGGCAAAATTTGCTTATTGATGAAAATAGGCTGCATCTTAACAATTTAGAGGAAAAAGACTCATTAGATTCAGGTTTCAGCCATGGCTGTTGAAACACACGGCGTGCCTCAACTTGAACTGGAGGCTGTCATCGGGTTCAACGGTGAGTTTTCCTGCAAACGCCTCTAAGTTAATAACTATTATTTGCTAGCTGTATTGTGTGTGTTCGTGAAACATCTAGAATTTCCTTTTCAGTTATGTATAGTGCTATATCGGTTATAGTTGTAGGCTTGGTGACATTTTAAATGTTCCAGATACGTTGTTAAAATTATGTTGAACAGCATTGCTAACTATCTTAAGCTATTGAAAGACCCTACAGTGTACTTGGCTTGATTACCTGTTAAACTGGGAATTTCTAACTGCTGTCTGCTCATCCACATTTTAAAATAAGAGACCATCCATCATGATCTTAAACAGTATCTTTTCTGTCTTAAAACATGGTAGATCTTATGGTATGCTACACTTTGTTTCATTAGGGCATGTGTCTTCTGGCTTGAGAGTCCACCCAGACAAAGAGCACCTTATTTATCCTCTGGGATGCACAGTCATTCTGAAGAGAATCAAAGATGGCAAGCAGGAGTTCCTACATGGACACACAAACAATGTATCTTGCATCTCAGTGTCCAAAAGTGGATTATATATTGCCTCTGGACAGGTCAACTTCATGGGCTTTAAGGTAGCTATAGTTAAGATACATTTTCCATATGTAAAGTTTCTGATATGGATCAGGTTAATTTACTAATTTGCCAATAACTGTCAGTTACCTGTTTAAGTTGTCCTTGTTTGATGTTGTGTGGTACATGTTTTTTGCTCAATATGTGAGTTTGAATCCATTTAAAGTAAGGGATGGCAACACAAATATGTATGTACGTATTTTTCTAGGCTACGGTAATTATCTGGGACTATGCACAGCGAACAATCTATGCCCAGCTGCTGCTCCACAAGGCTAAGGTAGAGGCACTGGCCTTCTCTCCCAATGACAAGTACCTGGTGTCTCTTGGGGGTCAGGATGATGGCAGGTAAACAGCAAGTTTGGTTGGTGCTGTCTAGAGTAAGTTGTGCTTCAATTCAGAAGGAAACATACACAATGTAAATGCACTCAGCTGTACATACTCTCTTTTTGTTGAGTGTGTGAGGTGTTTTCTGTGTGTTTTCAGCATAGTCATATGGAATATTGAGACCCAGCAGGCAATCTGTGGGAGCGCAGCCTCAGCTCACAGTGCTGGACACTGCCTCACTGTGCAGTACTCGAACACAAATGACAACATCTTTGTTTCTGCTGGAAGGTGAGTGACTGGTATCAGTCTATTGCAACTCATGAACATGTATTTTGCATTATTCAGAGGATTCATCATCACATTAAATCTTAATTCGCCTACTTACAAAATTAAAGTAAAAACATCTAAGTATTACTATGTTTACATTCAAAATGTGTCTCCATCATGGTTCCTGTGGTTAATATGGCATGCTGTTAAAGTGTTGTAATATCATTGGACTTTTCTGGGCAGCGGAACATTGCGAGTCTGGGAGCTGGACCTTCCCAACAGGAAGATCAGACCCACAGAGTGTCAGACAGGAAAGCTGAAGAGGATTGTGAAATGTATAGAGGTATGAGAGTCTTTCATTCACACCAACTTGTTTAACCAGCTCATTTTTTTAGGAGATATACAGCTAATAATGTATGAACATTACTAGCAGTTGTGTGCTTGTAGGCACACAAGCACAGCATAGAATGTGATATTACACAGTGATTCTTTCATTTAGAAACTTATAGTACACTAGATATGGTGATATTAGATAGTTTGCTCAGCTTGAATTGTTTATATACGCAGGTCTCAGAGGATGATCAGTTCGTTTTCTGTGGCACCACCAGCGGAGACATCCTGAAAATCAACATGAAGACTGGGCTTCTGAGTGACTGCGGTCCAATTAAAACAAAATACAGCCTGGTAAGTCAACTTTAATTGGGTGCAGTAAAGGTAATTTCAGCTCACTTGCACTCTCCCTGATAGTCAAGTCTATATAGAGCTGATTGAACCATATTCCTGATGGAACGTTCCTTGGGAAATTTATTCAGTGGCTCATGCCATGTTATGAATTTTATTTTATCTGCAGCTGTAATTTCTCCTTTTGTGAATACGTTCCTTTACTACTACTCTCCAGAGTCTTATTTATAGTGTGGGAGCTTTAGTATATACTTCCTGTAAGTAATTCAGATAGCTTGTCAGTATTTGATAAAAACTCACCAGATCTTTGTAGATAGATGGTTCAGCTTGCATCAAAGATCTAGGAATTTGAAAAGTCATATATTCTTGTGTATATAATAACTTCGTAGGTCCATATCTTAAAACTTGTGCCTTTTCTATGTAGGGTGTCAATGCCATAAGGATACTGAAGTCTGGGGACCTGCTTGTAGGCTCTGGATCTGGCACCTTCACTCTGTGTTCCAAGAATAAGTTCAAAACTCTTAAGTGAGTCCTACAACTGTGTCATTTGTGAAATCTCAATTTAAAAATTCAATTTGGTAACAATACATGGTGCTTACAGTTCACAAGCTTTTTTTACACTATAAATAAATATCCAGGCTGCCAGTGTCATGTGAACAGTTTTTCTGTGCTTATTATACAGCGACCTTTATTTACTCCTTTTTTTTCTCTTTACCCACATTAGGGAAGTCCAGCTGGAAAAGGGGGTGACCTCTATTGCTATAAGAGGAGAGGGCCAGCAGTTCTTTGTTGGAACAGAGGCTGCTCAGATGTACCGTTTCAGTCATGTGGACTTCAAAGCTGAACTCATATCCACCAGCCACAACAGTGCTGTCAAGGACGTAGCCATTTGTTTGTAAGTGGGAGACAGACAGTTCAGGGAGACAGAGTCAAAGTCATCAGTCACTAATGACAAAATGTTTACTGTCTCTTAATTCTTTTTATGGTTAGCATCTGGGACCCACCGGAGAAAGTAAAATGGCAAATGTCCTTGTGTCAGCTTTTAAATGTGGCAAGAAATATATATCCTAGATTGATTTAAATTAAGAGAAATGAAACTCCATCATGCTGTTAAAGAATCCCTTTGCCCTAGAGGTAAAGCAGATACATGTATTTATGATGCACAGTTTAAAATCAATCTCGTTTATACTACATTTTGGAGATTAATAGTCAGTTGAAATCATAAGAACCTCTTGCACAATGCCGATACAATGTCCAGTAAACACCAAGAAAAACAGTGTTTAGCGAGATGACGGTTTGAGTTTGTATGGGCATGTGTTGTCTGATGCAACATTTTAAATCTTTTTATCCAACAAAAACATCAGTACGTTTCAAATCTTCCCAAGCTTGATATGAGGCTAAGGTGACACGTGCAAGCAGGCAACGGCACACCAGAAGTGTTACTTATCTTAATTTTGTGTATTTGATTGCCTTAAAGTGAGAGTTAGACAGAGAAAGACAAATCGACATTTCAATAACAGCAATTACAACAACATGTAATTCAGCCAGTTGTAATATTTTAATGCCATGTTTGCTCCCTGGTGTTCTCTACGTTTCCCTCCCAATCACAAATCCTTCCTCTTGTAAGGAAAGTATTATACATACAAGAAAATTATATCCTCTGTGTCATCTACAGTATAGTACAACAAAACAAACACAACCATGGGATTGTACGGGTTGTGTGTTTTTGCAGATGGGTCTTCCTAATATTTAATTAACATTGTGAGCGATAATTCCTAAACCTCTAGTATGTGCAGTTGTATGTCTTTTTTCAGCAAAAAGCTTAAATTCCATTTATATCTCATAATGCATGACTTCAGTACCGCATTGTGCTCACTAGAGGGTGACATATGAACGCCTCATCCATATCACTCCATTATAAGCTCAGAAAAACGTATTGCTTTTAGGTATATTGAACACAGACCTGGATAATGTATTGAATCCAAGTTGATAATGTGAATAATTATATGGATACTTGGTTGCTTTTAACTCACATACCAATATATTATAACAGGTGGTTAAACCTAAATTAACTTAACCATAATTCTACATCTCTCTCTCTCTCGCTCTCTCTCTCCCTCTCTCCATTTTTTGGGGTTTGTATCTCTGCTAGTGGAATATCTGAATTATTTGCAACCTGCTCTGAGGAGGATATCAGGTTGTGGCACATAGACAAGCCCAAAGAGCTGCTGCGCATAACTGTACCCAACATGACCTGCAATTCCCTGGACTTCATGGCCGATGGACACAGCATCATCAGTGGTGAGAGTCAGGGAGAGATGTCTGCAAGAAAGACATTGGAGCTTATTACTACAATGAATATCCTGTTTTTGTTCAGCCATAATTATATTTGTTCATCGGTTACTATATGGCATGAACCAGCAACACTTTTTTCTTAAGTTACCCACTTCCACTAAGATTATACTATTTTATCTACTGAAGCAAATGAATCTTCACAGCAAATATCTTTTTGAGTTGATTTCTCTCTCTTCCAGCATGGAATGATGGTAAGATTCGTGTGTTTGCGCCGGAAAGCGGTCAGCTCATGCTCATCATTCACAACGCTCACAGAATGGGTGTGACGGCCATCGCTGGCACCAGGAACTGCAAGAGGATCGTCAGTGGAGGGGGAGAAGGACAGGTCAGCTGACATGATACATCTCAAATCAATAGCTGTTTAAAAATGTAAATGTAAATGTGTCCTCATCGAGTAAGAGGACAAAGCAACATATTGAAATTCTCCACAATACCATCATAATATTGCATTTTAGAATACCACTGCCCACTAATCTCTCCAAGAGGTCAGCAAATGTCTGCTAGCACTCACTTGGCTACACAACACACAATCTTCTTGACAGTTTCTTTTTTTTTAGTTAAGAAGCCATGTGTTTAAAAATATGAGTTGTTTTTTTGGGTTTTTTTTATAAGTAAATTAACCTTGTTACCCAGCCTACATATTCCATAACTAACAATATAAAAAAAGACCAAACTCAGCAGAGGAAGAAAGATATTTGAACATGTGTGTACATGAACATGTAAGTACTGTCTGGCATGCAGTATAACTGTAGTTTGACAGATTTAAACAGAAGGAGTACTGTGGAAGATCTTTTTCAATAGGTATTTAACTTTGTTTCCATAGTTACATGATTGCATTCCAAATCACTGAAAGAAAGATGAAAGAGTATTTTAATTAAGCATCACATGCATTAAGCATAGTATCCTGTGAGGCTGAATGAATTTGGGTTCACCTGTTGTAGGTGCGTGTTTGGGAGCTGCAGCTGCGCGGCCATCGGCTGCTGGAGACCATGAAAGAGCACAAAGCAACTGTCGCCTGTATCAAAATCAAGAGTGACGACAAAGAGTGTGTTACTGCCAGCTCTGATGGTGCCTGCATCATCTGGGACATAGTGTGAGTAGCCCCTCTGCATACCCAAACACTTGTGTTAACTCCAGAGGCAAGAACATAAATGCACACATTTCACATTGCACATATACAGTATTTATCCTCGTTTTTCATATAATTAGTGAGTAAAATACTCTCTTGAGGATTTCTCATTGATTTTAGTGGTTGTATGAAATCCCATACAACACTGGAAAGCAAGTGTTTTCTCCACTGACTCAAAATTCTACTTCATTAATTAATTCTTAATTCAATCTACAACCTCAAGGTGAATGAATCATAGATTTGACTTTTCTGACACTGTGCTGGGTCTATTTTGCTGAAGGCAGGTAGATTGAAAGGCATGTTATTTGACTTAAAACATCAAATAATCACATAAATCCAGCAGAAAAACTACTGTACATAATTGCTAATGACATGCATAGCTACCAGAAGGAAAATGACAGTGGAATGTGGAGAGTGTTGCCTTAAGGTCCGAGTTGTAATGAGAAAGAAACACTTGGTGTCTGGCTGGTACAGGAGGAATAAAAAGAAACACAGTGCATTCTTTATAAAGAAAGCTTAAAATCCTTTAATCCTTAGGCTTCTTCTGCAAGGAGAATAAAACCTTTAAAAACTCTGATGGTGGTCGTGTTTTTTCACTGTCTATCCTCTTCAATTAATAAATCTGTGGATTAAAGGGTAGCACGGGTTTTCTTTTTTTGGTATGATTACTAATAAGATGATGTTATGAAGAATATTAGACAATAGCCTAAATTAATCTAGATTGGCACCCTGTGTGTGTGTGTGTGTGTTTTGTTTGCATGTGAGTGCACAATACATCTAATAGTTTTTTTTGTGATTTGTAACTATACAGATTGGCTTGTGAGACTTTATTTTGCTGGAAATAAAACTAATTATTGCAGTAAACTGCACTGGGCAGTTTATGGAGTGAGAGCATCTGATTTTTTTAAGGCCATTGCTACACCTGTGAAACTTACTTTCCTCTCTCATTTCCTGTATCCCATCTTCTGGCTCTTCTTTGTCTCCTCCTACAGAAGATTTGTGAGTCTTCAAATGGTGATTGCCAACACACTGTTCAGGACGGTCTGCTACCACCCGGAGGAATATCAGATCATTACCAGTGGCACTGACAGAAAGGTGAGTTTTGAAATTGCAAAGACTTTCTTTCACTCAGTACCCAGTGCAGTTATTATAGTCTGAGAAATCTGCCCACGTTTGCCTTGGTTGGTTTTATACACTGGCATGTAAGAGTTGGTTAGTGAAGAATTCCCTGGGACTCATAACTCAGCAAATCATGCCTCACAGGAAAAAAAAAATGTAGTGATTGTAATGACTGAAAATCCCTCAGGGTGCAAAGAGACTGACACTCATAAAAGTCATAATCAAAATATCTCATTATGCTTTTATTGTTATTATAATCTCCACTCAGTTAGCGTGAGCGAAAAACCTGTCGCTCTGGTCAAGTCAGCACAGAAGAGCACAGTGAAGACTTGTGCCATCACACACACACACTTGCATGTCCATAGTATAGTTTGAAGAGCTTGTAATTTGTTTCTCAGCTTATCATAATTATGCTATTGTGTTAGCTGCTAGTCACCGTGGCAAAAACACCCTTTATGTCTGTTATTTTATGATTAATTATGATTAACTCTGCACCACTAATTTACATAAGGTCAGGAGTTCACAGTGGAAGAATGAAATACTTGTTTCCTTGATTGTGCACTTTATCCGCTCCCCTTGAACCCGGCCACACACTAGACCCATATTGTTGCCTCCCCAGCATGCTGAGAGGTGAGGACAAGTTGTGCTGATTAACACAGTGCTGTAGATGTGCTGAGTGAGCGGAGGGGGGGAGAGAGAGAGTGAGAGCGAGGGATTCATGGAAGGGGGGGAGAGAATAGAGATAGAGGGGAGTGCTGTGGTGTTCGTGCCTTCCTGCGGATGTGCCTATGCCACCCAAGTGCCAGCCAGATCCACCATCTGCTCATCCCAGGACACAGGCGCTCTGTCTGGGAGAACAAATACCAATGCTCTCTCTCTCTCCTCTCCTTACCCCAACCCTTCATCACATCCCAGCATGTCTCTGTGAGTGGATTCAGAGTGAGTACACCAACAGAGCTGAGAGAAAGAGTGAAGGGACAGAGAAAAAAATAGGAAAGGAGGGTGGAGGGTCAGGGAGATGTTGTATTAATGAGATAGAATTTGTGAAAAATGATGATGATTCCTCTTTTGATGGTGAGCTTGGATAACTCTGATAACAGATAGCTTTGTGTGGCTCATTTTGAGTGTATATTAAAAGGATCCATTTGCCATCCATTCACTTTCTGATGCGTATCTGGGGTCGGATCACCGGTGGCACAAGGTCAAACAAAGTAGTCCAGATGTCCCCCTCCCCAACAGCATTTTCCAGCTCCTCCTGGGGGATCCTGAGGCGTTCCCAGACCAGATAAGATATGTAATAATCTCTCCAAGGTGTTCTGGGTCTAGCCTGAGGCCTCCTATCAGTTAGATGTGCCTGGAAGACCTCCAGTGAAAGGCATCCAGAAGGCATCCTAACCACTTGGATGACTTGGAGACTTGGACGTGCTGGCCCTTATCCCAACTGCTTCACACTCTCTTCACACCCTCGGACAAGGCCAAGAGAACCACATCGTCTGCAAATAGAAGGGAGGGAATTAGGAGGAACCCAAACTGGACACACTCCTCCCTCCGGCTGCGCCTTGAAATCCTGCTCATGAAAATCACAAACACGATTGATGGGAGACAGGCTGAGCAGTGTCAACAGTGGGCCTGATGTTTCTGACCTGCTCTTGCTTGCTGCGTGTAATTAATTTACTTGGTGGCCCAATGTCGTGGCTGTGGGCCAGTTTCCCTGGCAGAGGTGGGGGGAAACACAGATGGGCCAAGACAACTCACACAGGTGGGAGCCTCTAATAAGCTGCTGGAATGAGATGAGGAAGGAAGGAGAGGTCGTGACTGTGGCAAGGAGGAAGAGATGGAAGGTGACATGGGGAAGAATAAGGAGGTTACAATAACTTTTGTCGTACACGGATATACAGAATACTGTATATCAGTATTATTTTGATTTCTTATACACTAAGAGAAGCAATGTAGTTGTATTTTTGGAGGCACTTCTTTGTTTGGTGATGGTGGGAAATATAAATGGTTTCATGTTGGCAAACAAACACCTCAGCTGAATCAGTTCGCGTAATCTGAGAAGCTGTAAGCCTTACATTCTGACTATTTGGTGTTCATAATGAACCATTTTCCCCTCTGGTGTTTTCTGAAGTTATCTTTTGCAAAGTTATTTTGTGGAAATATTAATATCAGCAAGCCATTCTATCTGAATAAGCCAATCTGAGGTAGAACAACACTGTAGACTCAAATGACCCCCACAGAAATGTTCCTGCGGCTTAAAAGGGCAGCTTATTGCTTTGAGAATCACTTTGCAGCTCTGAAACTATAAATAACATTTTTTTACCGAACCTTTTGTTCCTCTTTCATTCCACAATAACCAATAGTATTTGATATGTCTGTGTGAGATTACATTTCCCCTCCTGTAATGCATTATAGGCATGGGCACTGCCAGAGAAATGAAATCTTGTCTCAGAGGCTATTCTCATAAATGTTGGTCTTATTCTGAGCAGCTCTGTGTAACATGAACTTTTCCTTTTACACCTAACCAACCTATATAATGCTTCATATGCTCGAATAAGTCAAAGAGTAAACTACTGTATACTTTGTATTGGCATCATCACAGTCAGGCTATATATAGATTTCCCAGTAATTAGGTTTTTAAATTTGGTGTGTAGTGCTTTTAACACTTGATGGACCTTTTGCGATCTGTTAATTATCCTTTGTTTTACTAACTTTGTAATGGCTTCTGGCCTTTGAAACACACCCTGGGACTGAGATCAGTGATAAAGTGCACCACTAAATCTTCAACTAGAGACTCATTCATACAGGATGCCTCAGAAGACAGATTTTAATGATCGGATCCATCTGGCCCCCCCATTTACCTTGCTTTTAAGATCTAATCAGCGTGGTCATATAAATAACAACAAAGAACCCTTGTTAATGTGTGGCACTGTGATGTTTCTGCCGCCTGCGCTATAAATAACTTTAGCTAACAAGTGCCTTTTGTGAGACTTGATACTATGGCAGTTGTTAGGCCCTAGGGATGATTAAATCTCATTTAAATCAGCAAACATACTCTAGTTTCAATAGTGCTGTGTGACAGCTTGATAGAATCTAACCATAGACCTGCTCACTACCTCACAGAGTTAGAATAATAAAGTACTTAATGTAATAGTTTGAGGTCACATATTCCATACCACAGTATGTGTATGATAAAGTAATATCATCTCATCTGATTAGATTCTATTCAACAAAACAGTGAAGACTGGAGAAGACTGTTTGTATCTCCCTCCCTCTTGGACACTGTGTCTTCCATAAACAATGCCGATGATGAATGTACAACACCTGCAACTAAAGTACAGTTTTTTCTGCGTGTTAACGTGTTTCTCAGGTTGTCTACTGGGACGTGTACGATGGCTCTGCCATCAGAGAACTGGAGGGCTCACAGTCTGGGGCCATCAATGGCTTGCACATTTCACACGACGGCAAACACTTTGTGACAGGTATGGCCCATTACACATCTGACACTTCATACATTGCTCGTTTTAGTGATTGTCCCTATCAATATAATTTTACCAAGACTAAATTTGGAATCTTGAAAATCTCTTTTATATGAACATTAATTGTAAGGATAGTAACCATTTTATTCTTGTCCCAGGTTTATTGCTGATGATGCTCATATTCAGATGAAACATGATTGTCCTTTTTTTGGAATTATAGTTTCAGTACAGTACTTTTTAATGAAAGAATTGTATGCTTTGACTTTGAGTGTTTTCAACTCTTCAGAGCCTTTGTTTTCATCTGCTTGACTGACACTACAATGCTTGCTCTGCTCAAACTTCACTCAGAGTATTCATACATTTTTTCCCCTTTTCATGGCAGGTGGAGATGACAAGCTGGTGAAAGTGTGGGACTACACGGAAGGTGTAGTAACCCACATAGGGATAGCTCACGGTGGCAGTATCACCAGCGTCGAGATCTGCTCCAACAACCGCACCTTAGTCAGCACCAGTGCGGATGGAGCCATTCTCCGGTGGAGGTTCCCACACCCTTCTTCTTCATGATGTGACACTAGAAGCCACAGAAACCACCACTCACACACAAATTTATTCAGAATTCTCCCTCTTCTGATTTAGCAAATATTGTCATGAGAATTCAGTAATCTTACGATAACATTGAAGAAGGTGTTTACACTCTGACCAAAAGAAATAAAACATAATAAATATAAATGTAATTTGAAGACGCTTCGATGATTATAATTATATACAACCGTTTCCTTTCAGCAGCAAAAGGACATCATAGAAATAAGTGAAAAGATTACAGAGCAATCTGAGCAATTATTGAGCAATCTGGTATTCCCCACAGCAGGTGAATGGATGGGAAATCATACAGCTACACTTTAAATTAATATAAAATTAAATATCAAGGCACAAAAAACTGTACTTCACATCAAAGAGTCAGCATTATGCTTCTTTAGAATGTTTGAGAACAGCAGAATTAATGGCTTACAACATATACTCTATGCCGATGAAACCAGAATATTTAAAAAGAAGGGTATATTATACCGTACATTAAATGTATACTTTTCTCAGATATGATTCCTCTCTCTGCTACAGTAGAGACAAAGAAGAGGCCCAGATTCTTGGCACTTAAACACGTGGCTGCTGTCAGCTAATCTATCAACAGCGATTCCCTGAAGGATACTGGTTAAGGAGGGAGGCAACGTACAACAGAAAGCCTCTCTGGCTGTGTCTGATCTGAACCCTTTCTCCTCACTGTTCTTCAAAATGGCTAATCTAAATAATTAATAACTCACCCCTGCTTCCCCCCAGTAAAATAACAAACCTGCAGTATAAACCAAGTCAGCAAAAACATTCCTGGATCAGTAAAATAGGGCATCTCTGTCCTTGCCCTTTTCCACCCCTGCTTACGAACAGAGGACGACTAAGGTACAAGTAAGTGAAAAGAAAAAAAAAAACACATCAACTCACAGTTTTACACAGAATTTGTTTATTTGATATGATGCTAAACCATGTGTGCATGTTTCCTAACAATGCTGGAATAACAGCATCAGGGACATCATGGAAATATTGGATGAGGCTCTGACTATCTATTTCAATAAATCAGCACATCTGGCCCCACTAAATCCAATCTTTAGTACTGGTGAGCTGTGAAATTAAGCTTCAGATGATTAGAATCGGAATATAGCACAAAAGATGCCGGATCCCTTTTGAAAACCAGGACTGTGCATTACATATCTGACCAAATGCTTCTGCAATATCCATTTCACTCACTTTGTAGAGCTTCCAGAGTATAGGAGCAGCAGCAGCATTATAATGTGCATGGAGACAGTGGCCGCGCTATTTATGGGATACATCTGTCTGTAAACGCTGGTGGGATGTAGACAAGGTGTTTTAATAGCAGGATAGACAGCCTCTTAACCAGCAACACAAACATGCATAGAGCAACATTATTAAGTTACCCCAAAACATGTGATCCTAAAATTCCTACTTTGAGACAGTGCATGTAGATATTTTAGGGACTTGTTTTATAGGTGGCCATGGAGAAGTTTAGGGATCATTGGTCTTGTGTGTATTTAATGAGCCCATGCTCTTACTATAAAGCCATATCCTAAAAATGCCAGACATAGTTTCTTCCACAACCTCTGAAGATGTTAAGGTGGTGTTGTGGTTGGTCCTACAGGGGGCAGTTGAAGGCTACAGTGCTTGTCACCACAACTTCCTCGTTTCCAGTGTAATAATGTAAAGTTACCGTCCCAGTAACACCGCGTGGCTGTCTGGACAACGATCTCCTGTTCACAGTATACACCTTCTTATTGTGACAAACTATAAGCATTGTAATCCAGGTTAATTCAATTCATGTGTTAGGGGCGGGCCTTTGAGACGGTCCTTCAGAATAGAGACTTTGTAGCTCCGTAGACAGGAGAGAAGAGGAGGAGGGAGGGTGGAATAGTGGTGGTGAGAGATCCAGAGCCGAGAGCCATCGATGAGGAAGTGTAATTGAACCTGTGATGTGGAGGGAGGGAAGCAGCTCATCTCTGTAGTTCCTGGAGAGAGCGTCACCCATCTAAACGCGCAGACTGGTGAAAACAACGTACTGGGGAAAAATAGCGGGATGCCAAGGGAATGAAGTCAGTAATCATGTGCCTTATTGGCACCGCATCGGTGCCACCACAGCGGTGAGGTTTGTGGAGAGAAGGAAAGAGGAGGAGGAGGAGGAGGAGGGGTAGACAGCCTGGCAGACAGGTGCGACTCCACAGCCTGTTTCATTTTCTCTCGGTCCCAGTAAGTTCATAGCGCCATGGATACCCGCAAGGAAAACAAGGTAAGAAAACAACCCATGAAACCAAAATCCACAACGCGAAAGGAGAAGAAATACAAGACCGGGAGGTTTATCAGGAGGAAATCGCTGCGATCTTTTGGGAATTTCATGGGAAGGATCCTTAAAACTTTGGGCACTTTGGCGCACTTTGGCGACGCGGAACCGCCAGACGCGGAGGACGACGACGGCGGCTTCGGCCAGAGCGCTTCGGGGGGTTTCAAAGAGGACTGCTCGCAGATCTTCAGGGAGGGAACCGTGAAGAAGAGCTCCACGGCGTCCTCCTCTCACGGCTCGGTGAAAGAGAGGCTGTCGTGGTGCTACGGTGACAAGACCCCCGGGGTGCTGGGACTGAAGAACCACGGCAACACCTGTTTCATGAACGCCGTGGTTCAGTGCCTCAGCAACACGGACCTGCTGGCCGAGTACCTCGGGCTGGAGCAGTACAGGTCGGACGTGTGCCACGGGAGGGTGAACGGGGAGGTGAGAGGAGAGGAGCCGCAGAGCGCCAGGGGAGAGGTGACCGAGCAGCTGGCGTCGCTGGTTCGAGCGCTGTGGACACTGGAGTACCAGCCTCAGCTGTCTGTGGAGTTCAAGGTGAGGACAGAGAGAGGGCGAGAGATGTCGCTGGTTTTATTTAAGTTGTACGTGTTAAAATCTATAGATTTCACTCAGTTGTCAGGGCTGTTTTTCAAGCTAAAGTTGTGCCACTGAGGGGGCGTGACATCATTTGAGTTGATTTAGTTTTTCCCCAACAAGTTTCCCATAATTTCCTCTTGGGAATATTTGCCAGTATTGCAGTTAAACACGTGTTTCCTTAAAGAGTGCCAGTACTTTATAATTACTTCAATGGCTGTGATATTTCAACTTCAGATAGGTAGATAAAGGCAAAGCTGCATTCCCACCTTGACGAAGCATGCATGGCACCCAGGGGCCCTGAAACCCACCAAGTAAACTGTGTGTCAATTGGTTTTTGATTTTTCATTAACTGCAGTTTTGTCTGGGAATGTGCTCTTCTAAAGCACAATAAAGCCACTATCATAGGGCCGTAAGTCATTTTTAAATCAAATTACCACAAACTAATTGACAGACAGCAAACCACAGCCACCAGGTACTATTCTCAAGCACAAGACTGCTGCTGGGTTTCTGGGTACTTGGAGGAGGCATGGACATATTTTACACACACACACACACACAGAGAGACAGGGTTAGTAGGAGATCAGCAGGAAAATTGTGCCGCAGGAACACCTGCAGGTTTCTTCAGCCTTGGCTAAAGAGATGTTATTATCTTCAGGTTAGATTACTTATACACATTCTTCCCACAGAATCTGCCTGGTTACTTGCTGAACTGTTTTATTTGCCTCAGCACACAGTCATTAATTGGCTTTAGTGCAATGAAATGCCAGGTTTTTGTGAGGTAAAAAAAAAAAATGAGACCAAGATAAATCATTTCAAAACTCTTTCCACCATTTTAATGTGACCTATAAACCTGTACAATTCAATTGAAGAACAAACTGAAATGTTCAGAATTAACTAATCACATTCAAACTCATGTTAAATAGTAGTCAGTGCACACCTGCCATCAATTAAAGTGACTGATTAACCCAAAATAAAGTTCAGCTGTTCTAGTAGGATTTTCCTGACATTTACTTAGCTGTATCTTACAGCAGAAGCATCAAGTATCAAAAGGGTCTCATTGTTGAAAGTTATGAGTCAGGAGAAGGGTACGAAAAGAGTTTCCAAGGCATTAGACATACCATGGGACACAGTGAAGACGGTCATTAACAAGTGGAGAAAATATAGCACAATGGGTGCATCACGAAGAACTTGACTTCCCTCCAAAATTGATGAAAAGACAAGAAGAAAACTGTTCAGGGAGGCTGCCAAGTGGCCTACAGCAACATTAAAGAAGCTGCAGGAATTTCTGGCAAGTACTGGTTGTGAACTACATGTCACAATAGTCTCCTGTATTCTTCATATGTCTGGGCTAAGGATTCGGAAACCTTTTCATATGAAGAAAAACATCCAAGCCTGGCTAAATTTTGCAAAAACATACATCAAGTCTCCCAAAAGCATGTGGGAAAATGTGTTGCGGTCTGATGAAACCAAGGTTGAACTTTCGGGCCATAATTCCAAAAGGTGTATGTTTGGCAAAAACAACGCTGCACATCACCAAAAGAACACGATACCCACGGTGAAGAGTGGTGGTGGCAGCATCATGCGTTTGGGATGTTTTTCTTCAGTTGGAAACTGGGGCTTCAGTCAAGGTGAAAGGAATAATGAACAGTTCTGAATACCGGTCATTTTTGGCACAAAACCTTCAGGTGTCTGCTAGAAAGCTGAGGATGAAGAGGAATTTCACTTTTCAGCATGACAACGACCCAAAGCATGCATCCAAATCAACAAAAGAATGGCTTCACCAGTAGATTAAAGTTTTGGAATTGCCCAGCCAGAGCCCAGACCCGAATCCAATTTGGAAATCTGTGGGGTGACCTGAAGAGGGCTGTGCACAGGAGATGCCCTCGCAATCTGACAGATTTGGAGCGCTTTTGCGAGGAAGAGTGGGCAAATATTGGCAAGTCAAGATGTCCCATGCTGATAGACTCCTACCTAAAAAGACTGAGTGCTGTAATAAAATCAGAAGGTGCTTGAACAAAGTATTAGTTTAAGGGAGTGCAGACTTATGCAACCACACAATTTTAGTTTTTTATTTTTATTTCCCCTAAAAGGTTTCAATTTGTTTTTCAATTGAATTGTACAGGTTATAGGTCACATTAAAGGTGGAAAGAGTTTTGAAATGATTTATCTTGGTGTCTTTTTTTTTTTTTTAAATTAACATCACAAAAACCTGGCATTTTACCAGGGGTGTGTGGACTTTTTATATCCACTGTATATCAGGAGGATCTTGTGACATTTACTACCACTACAGTCTGCATTGGCAAAACAAATATTTGAATAAACACGCGAGGTGTGCACTTCATTGAATGTGGTTCAAAGGGCAACGGTCAACCTGTGCGTTTCCCGTTTCCGTGAATAAAGGCGCACAGGTTGTTTGTGTATTTTAGCCGAGACCATTTGTCATCTGACGGAGTAATAAACAGAAAGCGCCTCGCCACTTTGCCTCACAGCATCAACATTTTATTATTGTTTGTTGAAGCAGTGGTAATTTTATGTGTGCATGCCATGTGGTTACTGATTACACGCAGGTTGCACTGTCTCCACTTGACTTCAGGTGGTTTGCATGCATTCCCCGACTGTCACGTGGAGGGAGGGGGAGTCACGCATTCCTGTCTTATTTACACAAACCGTTAAATGTATGTGATAGCAGTGGAGGCTACATTAGACGTACGCCATTACCTGTAGCATATCAGGAAATTAAAATCAATAAGTGGTCACACACTGAGACACGGAAGTCTTCCCGCTGCTGTAGTCACTCGTGGCTGCTTTGAACCAGGGCAGCAGGGCCTCCAGCCTTCCCTCTGGGCTTATTGGATGACAGTCAACCAGCAGGCTTACTGGGTTAGTAACTACTCTCTTGCATCAACAGCCTAGGGGAAGTTATGGGGGGGGCACAAAAACACACAATCGCACAGGCTTACACTTGGGGAAGACAGAGTGGGATGTCATCCATGATAGAAAAGGTTGATAGTCACGACAGTGACTTTGGATGGGAGCTTTGTTCCTCACCTACAACCACGAGTTCATGATAAATTAATGACATGTGTGAGAGCAAGTGCAGGGTATTCCAAAGCTGTAAGGGAAAGGCAATGATTAATACAGAAGAAGAGCTTGATGCTGTTTTGATCTGAAAGGGGGGGATGGTGTTATGGATCATTAATGCTGAGCACCTGCATGCATGTTAGATTTAAAGAAAGGATTTCAAACTCTTGTCACATGCAGCTTCACTTAGGGAGTGTCTGCTTACTTTAGAAATAATAGGAAGTGTGTGATGAGAAAAACATGAAGTCACACAGGGTTTTGAAAGGCATTTGGGTGTGGATTAGCGACTTTCAGTGGAGAAATTAGACTTAATACTTGATGTATTTACCCTTGTTGAACTGGGACTTGGTTTTCAAGACACCTGTTTTGCATGCTGTGCCAGATATGTGAAAAAAAATATACTGAATCTTCATGGGCCGTCATACTGGTTTCATATAACCTTTGTGTTAAAATGGGTTAAAATAGTGGTTGATACCAGTCACTGTAATGTCCACCTAGTGGAAGGAAAGAGAGAATATTAGCCCTTGAACTAAATGTCTGAATGTGCTGCCCTGTGTTGTTTATACTGAGGTATTCGATCTTTCCTCTATTTTGCTCTAATACCCCTCATCATGGCTGCATGCAATGGAGGGGGGGGGGGGGGGAGAAAGCATGTCCTTCACTCCCCTTTTCTCGCCTCGCCCCATTGCATCAACACAGTGATTTGTGTCTGTCTGCTCATCCCAGGCTGAAGCAGAAGAGAGGATGTTTACTGTAGCAAGTGCATTCGGCCTGGAAAAGGAGAATGCCCCCCGCTGAGACGCCTCCAATGGTGTGCACTCAGAGGAAGGGGGGGGGGGACATTGCTGGTAAACAAAACTTATCGTCCCTCCTGTGATCCTCACAGGACCCCTCCCTCCCTCCTATCAGAAAAAGGGACAGACAGCTTTGACAACTGGTTATTTTTGCAAATTTTTCCAGGCTTAAAGAGAAGCACTGGGAGAAGGGGTGAAAAAGTACTTTTTCTAACTTCTAACTCCTCTAACTTTTTTTTTTTTTATGTTGGGATAGGAGTGTGCAGGGATCATGGGCCTGTCAGTGGAATTCATAATTTCTCAACTGATGATACCAGACTGACCTCGGGCTTTTCACAAAGATACAACAGGGTATTTAAATGTTGGGTGCATCTTCCTGAAAAAGTTTGACTTGGAGTTTTGTTTTACTTCCTTTGCCTTTTTGACTAGTCAAAGTACAGTATGTGCCTGTTATACTCCGCGCTGAGTAAACATTCGAAATAAAGAATACATGTAAAATTCATATTCATCTACCATATAATGCCATAAGGTCTTTGTCCCAAAATCACAATACTTTCACAATTCTTTGCGTTAAAAGTTGACTTTTGTGAATCACTAGGCCGTGGTTGTGTTTTATTAAAAAAAAGTTATCTTTTCACTTTCATATGTCCTTTATTCCTCAGTGGATAGTATAGATGAGTAAAGAGAAGGTTGTCCCCCTGCCAGCCCTCCTTAGATTCCTATAACTGTATGTTAAAAGCCACATCATGAATCTGAATGTTGAGAAATGTGCTCCCAAATGCAGCTAAATGACAGTGATCAGCCTAATGGAGGTGCCGTATTTAAAGGTCAAACATTTCCAACTTTGCCATAACTGCCTCGCTACACATTTGATGTTGATGAAATCGGGAGGGATGAAGTGTCCTTTTTATTGGTTGGTACCAAAAGTTGTCTACATCAATTTAACTCGATGACGGAGCGAGCTCTCTCCTCTTGCTGCTTTACACTCCTGACCTAAAGGATTTAACGACACAGTAACTACTTTTAGAAGTTGTAGCGAGGAGCCCAGGATTCATCTTTTTACGCTTGACAGGATGCAGCTCT